ACCTAAAAGAATATTTGTAACAATATAAAGTAGAGAAAATAAATTTTATACAGCGAAATTGAAAAAAAAAAGGCAAAAGAAAACCATAAACCCTAGTAACCTAGACGCACCAGAGGTTCATTTTTCTCCAGTTCTCAGCCAAAACGAAGCATCAACCCATTGACAATATCAGATCCTCATTTCGCAGTTCATCTTTCTACTATTCGTTATAGCTGTAAGTATAAAGTCTTCACACTTGGCGCACCAGTCTATCAATTTTGAAAATTAATAGTCTTTCAAGAAAAGATCCAAATTTTATACCCATTGAGCTAAACGATTCAATCTTAAAATATGCTTTGCATTAAGTTTGCGTTTTTTTTTTCAAATATGGGTTTTAGTTATATTAATGGGTACTGCGAATTGGCGATTTTTTTGTACTTTTTGAGATAAAAGGTTAAATCTTTTATATTTGCTCTGGATTAACTTTGTTGTTGTTGATTTTTTGTTGATTCTCTGGGCTTAGTCATACTAATGTGTACTGTAAATTGGTGAAAACTTGTTATTTTTCTAACTCCAGTTGCTAACTGATTCATTTACATGAAAATTCTGTAATGCGAGTTTTGGTACATTGTATAGTTCATTGCATTGATAGAAATTGTAAGGATCTTGAGAAGCATAACACTCTGTAAAGCTACTAGTGGGGAAGCAAGAGGTATAAGCTAAGGTAATTCACTAGTGGGACTACACTTCTTTAATCAGGAGTGACTTGTTTTTGTAGTTTTTTGAATTAGGGATGTCTTAGTGAACAACGAGGTGCTTTCTGTGGCTTCTTTCCAAAGGCGGATCTAGAATTTCTAAAACATGAGCGCACAACTGAAAAAAAAGTATTAAGTGAGAATTGATCTTTGTTCTTTTGGGTAAATAACTGAGTATTTTACCAAGTGCACCATTCAGCCTTTGTAGAGCGTGGGTGCCTTTAGATACTATTAGACTAATTCTAGAAAATACATACATAAAATATCTAGTTTGGCGAAGAGACTATAGGTTCATGTGTCCCATAAATTACCCTATAAATCCGCCCCTGCGTCTTTCCATGTCTAAATGGTCGTATTTAACTCCTAATGCCGGAATTTAAAAGAGGCCTTTTTTGAATGTAGATAGTTTCTGAAGGTTGCATACTTCTTTAAAGTGTTTAGTATTCTGAATCCTGATCGAAGCTTGCAATTGCTTTTCCGGCAAAATAATGGGCACAGCACTTCATCCTGTTGCAGTTCAAATTAATTCTCGATGAAAATTTGAGTGCACATCCTTATTTTCTCCGTTTAATTAACTAATTGCAACCAGATCACTGGGTGTAGCATTAGTTTCTTGACATGAGGCACTCATGGTGCAATTTGCAACGATCTTTCTCTGAAATTGTGAAAATAAGGGTAGACCTGGTGCTGAAAAAAAATAAATTAATGTGCATTTTGTGATGAGAGTTCTGAAGGAAAATAGACAATGGAGGAATACCCTATTGCAAGGATCCTCCACTCCAACCATAAGATTGAGGGTTCAAATCACCAAAAGAGCAAAGTAAAAAAAGGCCCCCTGTTGGCTCGTCGATAAGGGGGTTATGGGGGTTGGGCCGGGAGGTGGGGGTTACCATATTCAAAAAACTAAAAAGAGGGAAAGGAAACTTCAAGTTATCAATGCCTTTGATGCTTGAATTTTTCTTCCCCTGATCCCTGGCTGTCTGTCCCACATGTAGACTTGCTGGCTTAGTACTTCACATAATTTGATTATTAATTGCATTAAATCTAATTACCAAATAAAAAATTACACTAAATCTATTTGAATATAGTTTACACCTATTGGCACAATTGGTGTTTTAATTTGTACTGCTTGTGTTATGGCTGTTTTAATTTGTACTGCTTGTGTTATGGCTATTTGTGGATGGTATTGTACTTAACTTTCTCCTTCGTATCGCAGAATCTTCTCCAGTGATGGCTGCATCTTCTTCTTCTCGGTTGGTTCGTGGTAAGGGGCTTTACTTGCTGTGACTGCTAAGATGAAGCAGTATGCTATACATTTGTATGAGATGGAACTTATCTCTCTCTTTCTCAATGATGTGACAAATATGTTAAAATGCCAGTGATGTCTCTCTCTCTCTCTCTCCCCCCCTCCCTTTCTCTCTTTTCCTTTCCTCGGCGGAAGATGTAGTTTCAGGCAGATAAACCAAATGAAAACCACCGAGGAAAACACATAGGAGTACGTTTTAGGGGTTGCAGGCCGAGATACTCCTTTGTCTGTGTTTGATCTGTAGAGAGGTAGTTTACATTATTTCTCATTGGGGATGGTCTAATGAACTCAATTAGGTTTTTCATGGACGTATTCTAGTTACTATCCACACAATGAAGTCATGTTAAATTTTTTGCATGGAGGAGATCATAAAGAGGAAGTAAACGTTTGTCTGTAGTGATATAATGTATTGGTTGCTTGTCAGCCCTCTTTTTCCTTTTTCTTTCTCTGATAATTTTTCCATCAAAAAGTAGAATGTTTATTTATTATATTTGTCACTCTTACCAGCTAATCTGTCCATTCAGTGGAGTTTGATATCAAACTACTCGAGCACTGAATGTCATTTACGGTCTTTAGTCTTTACTGCATAGCAGGTAGAACTTAATATATAACGTAAAGGGAGGGTTTTTACCCATTTACAGGATAAAGTCCTCTTGTGTCAAGAAAACTTCTGTTGAATCAATTTTATCCCAAATTGAATATCTTCATTGTCCAAAATGATGTCTATGCGAGACTCATGTTTTTACTTGATACAACTTCTCTTTCTTGTTTCTTTTCAATATTCTTAAAAGAAATAGATTAGCTTGTGGCCTCAACTTAGTCCTATAATTGCATTGACACGACACATTTATACGTATCAACTTATTTAATCATTTTTAAGTCAAACATGATAATTAATTTGGAAGAAGGAAGTAATATGATTTTTATCAGCCATATAGTCATAAAGATTTCTGCGGGAAGACAACCTTGCGAAATGTTGTTCAAAATTTGATGGTTTTATGTGCATTAGAAAGTTCATTAGTAACTGCAACAGGATATTATGCTATCTGTATCAGCTCATTGCATTCACTGCTTTCTTGTGCTATAATCCACATTGCATTATCTGCCGCTCCTTATTTCCTTGTCTGTATGTGTGATCTGTGCTTTAAACATGTTTGATGAGCTGCAGTAGTGGGTCGTTCATTGTTCAGTGGCCTCTGTAACAATCCTGATGGTTTAGTAAGATCAACACACGAGATGAAGTGCAGTCATTTGTTACANCCCCCCCCCCCCCAAACCTGATTCTTTTTCCAGTACATTTGCAATGTGCATCAGCCATGGATCATGAAATATGGATGTTGCGTGCATTTTGTTAATGCATGCGTATAATGTAATAGTGCAAGCCACAGAATTTATTCTTCACATTAAGATAAACCCTTCTTACTAGTCAAAATTATGAAATGCTTATTTTCATTAGAGAAAACGCCTTAACAACATCACTTGGCTAAAAGTTTATATTAAAATGGTCTTGAATCTTATGAGGTAACTCTGCTAATATTGAGTATGATTTGAATCGTCTCATGTTACAATTATGATACTAAAGTTCTTTACTTGTTTTTGGTCCTTCAGCAACAAAGGACCTTCATACAGATGAGGACGAATCTGAAAGTGGTAGACAATTCAGGTGCAAAGAGAGTGATGTGCATCCAAGCACTGAAGGGCAAGAAAGGAGCAAGATTAGGAGACACAATAGTTTGCTCAGTGAAGGAAGCTCAGCCAGGTGGGAAAGTGAAGAAAGGAGATGTTCATTATGGTGTTGTCGTTCGTGCTGCTATGCCAAGGGGTCGCTGTGATGGGAGCGAAGTAAAGTTTGATGACAATGCCGTGGTACTTATCAACAAGCATGGTGAACCGATTGGAACCAGAGTTTTTGGTCCAGTGCCCCATGAGTTGAGGAAAAAGAAGCATGTCAAGATTCTTAGTCTTGCAGAGCATATCGCCTAGGGTCAGAACCGCTTGCTTCTCAGGGTAGTTCTACCGGTGATTATTCTGTCGCTTGGAAGCTGAGTGTCGCGTTTACTGTATTGTGGGAACCTACCTTCTTGTTCACAAGCTGCAAAAGATGCTTCTTTTATAATCATAAACATTTTGACTTGTACATATAAATGTTGGCGCGCAAGGCACTGTGCTCTCTTTCCCTTTCCTCAGTTTTGGTCTGGAGTATGATTTACATCCAGTGCTCAAGGCACAGAATCCATTAACTGACTTGAATTAATACTAGTATGGTTTCATCCTGTTGGAACTTAAATTAATACTAGTATGGTTTCAGAGTATCGATATGTTATAAAGCTATAAATACTTTCAGATATAATTAACTTCCGAAGCATTCGTTCATTTGTTTATATCTTCATTTTAATCTGCATCGCGATGGACTTGTTGTTGTACGGATTGTGATATTGAAATTAAGAAGGAACTTTAAGAGTGACATTGAAAGTGTGATTGTGAAATTCTCATGTTATCTTATTTAAAATGACACCATCTTTAAGGGAGTCTCGCATTGAAAGTAGAATTTGAAAAGTAAATTTTAAATACTTGTCTATCAATTTCTTATCACAAAGTACTTTAATGATCATTTTCTTATTATAAAATACTTGAATATATACTCTTTATTTTTTAGTTCTTGGTTGACACTTAATTTACAAAGGAACATATCTGCTCTAAAAAGGTCGAATATCTTTTCTGAAAATTTCAACATATGTTAACTGTTAATGGGATGCTTGACAGCATCTCACATAAGTATTTTGTGCTGCCTCAAAAGTCAAGTAGTCATTTTTTCTTTAAAATGTGATAATATCACACCTCAAGGCTTTTTCTATATTTTTTTTGGGTTTGCTTTGCTATCAAATCAAATTTCTAACAGTACATAAGTGGACAAGATGGGTTGATCTGATGGTAAGCAACCCGATGCCGGGGTCTATTTGGAAACTAGAGGCGGAGCAAACTGTAGCTTTCTTCAAATCACATCAAACGCTATTCTAAATGGCAGAAGAAATCAGAGGCCAAGCCACAAAGTACTGAATTTCTCTTGTAACATTGTAATTATTTTATATCTTATTACGCTCTATATATAAATTATTCAGGTTGCAGGTATGCAGTAGTTACGGGGGCAAACAAAGGGATCGGATTTGAAATATGCAGGCAGCTCGCTTCTCAGGGAGTAGTTGTGGTTTTGACTGCTAGAAATGAGACGAGAGGGGTTGAAGCTGTGGAGAAGCTCAAAGGGTTAATCGGTTTGGCTAAAGAAAATGTGGTGTTTCAGCAGCTTGATGTTATGGATCCTTCCACTATTGCTTCTTTGGCTGAATTCATTAAGATCCAATTTGGCAGGATTGATATCTTGGTAAGAAGCATCACAAAAGCAATGTTCTGCTCTTTGATTGATTTTCTTGTTTAATTGCTGTGGGTATTTTGCATTTTCAGGTGAACAATGCAGGAATTGGTGGAGTCACTGCTGATGCTGATGCCCTTAGACCTAAACAAGAGTCCACTGGGGTGAGCTCCTTAGACCTAAACAAGGTCGCCGGAGCATTACACAATCCAAATGACAATCTAGAGAAAGTGAATGTGCCATAAGGACATGTAAAGGTGGTCTTCTCTTGGTCCTCCGGGGTAATTAGAATTTGATTGTACCCCGAGTAACCATCTAGAAAATAATAGAAAGCCCGGCCTGCAAGACAATTAAGCATTTGGTCAAGGAATGGCAATGGGAAATGATCTTTTCTAGTCACCTTGTTCAGCTTCTGGTAATCCATACAAACTCTCCACCCAGTGACCGTTCTAGTGGGAATGAGCTCATTGTTGTCATTGGTCACCACGGTCATACTACCCTTCTTCGGCACACATTGCACCGGAGAGGTCCACGAACTGTCAGAGATAGGATAAACTACCCCTGCATCTAGCCACTTGATAACCTCTTTCTTCACCACCTCTTGCATCGCCTCATTTAGTCTTCTTTGATGCTCCAAA